CCTTTGCCTTGAATTTTTCCTCTTCTTCCTTGTCCCACTGCAATACATGCACATGACAGATAAATAAGAGAACAGAGTGATTGTTTCTTAAAAGAACCTTGTATCATAGACGTAATTCTAACCTCAATTCCTTTCTTTTTCTTGTTGCCCCTTTCTATTTGAGCAAGGACGCCAGCAGCCTAAGCATTTAAATAAAAATATGTCAATCCATACCTAAGGAAGCTGTTAGTATGCAATTCAGGGAATGAACTATAAGTGCTATGAATTGGATAGAAAAACAGATCTATTGGGATATGCAAAGTCGAGAAGATAATGCAATACGCATAAAATATACTAAAAAACAAATCACACATATGTTGTATGGAAAAGGTCACCTGAGCACCACCCATCACAGATATTCTGGCATTCGGCCAAAGGTACATGAAATCAGGACTGTAAGCACGACCACACATTGCATAATTACCAGCACCAAAGCTTCCACCAACAATGATAGTAACCTTGGGAACCTGTAAACATTAATCACTAAAATTAGACAAGTAAAGCTTAATTCTTCCTTTTTCTCCCATTGTTATTTGAGATACATAATTAATTAAGTCATAACAGAAGAACCAATAACTTTTTTAACAGAAAACATTGTGTAACTTCAAAGAAAACAAGGCAATGGGAGCAAAAGTCATTAAAGAAAATTTTTGATATCTATCTTGAAGAGAAAAGGAAGCCCTTTTGAGCTAACATCGTAAAGTTGATAATTGTACTATATATTTTTGAACACATATGGGAAAGAAATTAAGATGAAAAAAAAATACTGTTACTACAATAACAAATTCAGGTGGACCTAGTATATGGGAAGGAAGAAACTTCCAATAGCTAATGACCTGATAAGATGCTTAGAGTGCTCCAGTTAGGCAATATACAAGTTTAAGATCGGTAGCAATAACACTCTTAAGACAAGCATATTCACATAAGGGGGGGAAAGATGCTCTTAATCACACAAGAACATATACTAACAATGAAATGACGAAGAACGAACCTTGGCACAAGAAACTGCCATCACCATTTTTGCTCCAGATTTTGCTATACCATTTGCCTCTGATCTCGAGCCAACCTACCAAATGAATAACTGTTATTGTTCCATGCCTCCACCACCTGGCTTGCTGTTCTATCTTTGTTTGGTGAGAGCTTGATGTTTTATATTACAACTATGTGATAATGTATACAACCATGTGGTAAGGAGAAGAGCATTGTTATCCTTATTTAATTTCTAAAGTAACTGATAGAAAGAAAAAAACTTGTAATGTTAAATTCAAACCACTAAATAATAAAAACTCATTTTCTTCTTCTCCACAAATGGCCAAATCATCAAAATTGCAAATTTTGAATGACATAAAAGTTACTGCTATTGTGTGCGATTGAACCAAAACAAAACTACTAGGATTAAATGTGTAAAGTGAATCCAAAGACCTAACTACAACCTGAGTTACTGAATCCATTTTATTTCCATTTCACTGCATTTCTCCTGATTTACCTTATATGTTGAAACTTTTTAAGTTCAAAGACATTTAAATACCTTTACACGTAAATCTCAAGCAACCTTTTCAGAGGATATAATGATTATATAACTTTCCCATTCTCAATCAAAAAACTTATGGTAAGCATGGCTTCCTCATTCTAGAATGGAACACATAAGCAAAGCAAATAAGAGACTTATTAGACAAATTCAAAGCGTGCCCCTCTTCAAAATAGCACAGTGGTGTTGATAGCTCCTTCAGTAAGAGAGTAACAGAAAAATGACCGAGCTTACATACCATAAATCCAGTGATGTTCTGAAGGAAGACCAAAGGAATGTTTCGTTGAGTACATAATTCAATGAAATGGGCCCCCTTTAGAGCAGACTCGTTAAATAATATCCCGTTGTTCCCAATAATTCCCACAGGCTGCCCAAAGATTCTGCCAAAACCTGTTACAAGAGTCTGCACAGATGCTATTGAAATTACAAAACTCACATATTAAACGAGAATAAATTTTTAAAAGTCAGAATTGAAAATGGTGCAAATGCCCTCACAGTGCCATACAATTTCTTGAATTCATCAAATTCGCTTCCATCGACAATGCGAGCAATAACTGATCGGATATCAAACTGCTGCTTGTGGTCGGTTGGTGCGATGGAACGAAGTTCCTTTACATCATATAATGGTTCCTGATATTCAGAACTTATATTCTGCAAACCGCTTTTCAAGCCTCTCGCTGCCATGTGCAAGTTTTTAATAATATTCCTCCCAATAGCAAGTCCATGGAGTTCATCTACAAGAAAACTTGAGATTATACATGTGATCTCTAATGGATAACCTCCCTGCCTCCCACCTCACTCCACATACATGCATTATGCATAGAATAATAATTCTAATAGGTCAAGAAAAATTAAATGTGATCTAACTTCAACAGTTTAAATTTTGCACATTTCAAATACCACTCCAATCACGTGATAATACCTTCTCTAAGACATTATACAAACTTGTAATCCAAATGGCTAGACTTTCATATACTTTGTGTTAGTATTTCAAAATTTTCACATTATAACTAATAACAAAGCTTTCCATTAATTATTAACATGTCAGGTTAGAACCTAAAGTAAGCAGAATGAGATGATAGTTTCAAAGAAATGTATGTGAGGTTTAAAGTACAAAATGGCATGAAGTAAAATACCTTGAGCAAAATAGTCTGAAACTCCTGACATCTTGCAATGCACGCTAGCACCCCCCAAATCTTCTGCAGATACTTCTTCTCCAGTAGCAGCCTATGGAAACATTTCCTTGCGATGAATATAGATTGTATACATACACCTACAGATATGTATGTACTCATATACCAGAAGGCTAGAAAATAACCTTCACAAGTGGGGGTCCTGCTAGAAATATGGTACCATTTCCTTTGACCATCACACTCTCATCAGCCATTGCAGGAATATAGGCACCGCCAGCAGTACAGGAACCTAATACCAGCGCAATTTGTGGAATGCCTTCGGCAGACATTAAAGCTTGATTGTAGAAAATTCTACCAAAATTCTCCCTGTCAGGAAAGACCTCGGCCTGCTTGGGAAGGAAAGCGCCTCCACTATCAACAAGATACACACACGGTAATTTGCATTGATTGGCAACCTCTTGTGCCCTGAGATGTTTCTTAACAGTGATGGGATAATAAGTCCCCCCCTTAACAGTAGGATCATTAGCCACAAACATACAAAGTCGTCCATGGACCGGACCTATTCCAGTAATAATCCCAGCAGATGGTAAGGATTCTTCATATAGTTCATGGCCTGCAAGCTTATTATTAACAAAATATACAATGTCCAATTAATTTTCATCAAAAAAAAAAAAAAACTTGCATCGTGGAAAGATAAGATATGTGATTAATGGGATTTTTATTTCAAAGTTGTTACTTTTAGTGAGCTTCAATCAAAACACAACAAATGGGAAGCTATAATTGATAGTGAAATGAAAAGGGAAACCTGAGAAAGCTCCAGGAAAGAAGCGCCAGGGTCAAGCAGACGATCAATGCGTTCTCTGGGGAGAAGTTTATTTCTGCTCCTGTTTCTCTTCACAGCTACAGGTCCTCCTGCACCAAGAACCTTCCTCACACACACACACACATTCATCAGTTACTAATAGCCCAATATATACATACACAAACGCATGAAATAGCGAGAGAGAGAAAGAGAGAGAGAGACCTTTTCGATGTGGGATTGGAGGTCGGAGATTAAGAGGTCCATGGCCTTTGAGTTGCGAGAAAAGGCCTCTGAATTCCGATCAACTCCATCGGGAAGAACTCCAAGGCTATAATCCCTCCTTGTTTGTACAATTTGAAATGCGCTCAGTGATGATTTCCATGAAGCTGAAGCTGAAGCTGCTACTCTCCTCGTCAGTATCCCAATCATCTCGAGCTCTTCCTCTCTCTCCCTCTATCGCACGCAGAGATGCGCTGAACTCAGTCACTCTGCTTATGTGGAATGTCTATCCCGTACTGGGCAGGGGGTAGTGGGTAGTAGCTTATGATAGAATTTTTCTCAATTTTTTAGGGGGGTTCTCTCTCTCTTTCTTTTTTTCTTCTTTCTTCTCTCCCCGAGTTCAGTCTTATCTCTCCTCTTTCTTTTTTATTTCCTTCCCTTCTCTCCTTCTTTTCTTCTTCTTTCTCCTTTCTTTCCCCGAGTTCACTCTTCTCTCTCACTCTTTCTTTTTTTCTTCTTCCTCTTGTCATGGGCATTTTTTTTCTTCTTCTCTCAGCTGGAAAACTGGGCATTTCCCCATTCTCTCTCCTTTATCTTTTTTTTTTTCTTCATTCTCTGAGAATGATTTGGGTACAATGTGCAAGGGTTGGTTTGGGGCAAAAAGTCACGACGTCGGCTTCTATTGGCCTCTTCTTCTACCTTTGTTCAATTTTTATTTTTATTTTGGAAAAAAGCTGAAGAAAAAGAGAACAAAAAAATCTAGACACAAACCCATTCGCAGGAAAATGAGCAACGACGATGGTAATCGGAATAGGAATAAGAAAGGCCAGTGGACACCGCCAAACAGACCCTACCAGGAGAAAGAGGAAGACATGAAGATTTGGGGAGAGAAAGAAGAAGGAGGAAGAAGAAAAAAAAGAAAGACAGAGAAAGAGAAGAGTGAATTCGTGGAGAGAAAGAAGAAAGAAGAAGAAAAGAAAGAGAGAAAGAAGAAGACAGAAAGAGAGAAGGAAAGGAAATAAAAAAAGAGAGGAGAGAGGACTTTTTATAATTTTGGATTGATTTTACGATTCTATCCCTGAACTTAACAGTTTTTTTGACAGAGGGACTATTTGAGAGCACCTATATTGACGTTAAGGACCATTACTGATACAAAAAAACTTTAAGGATGCAATCTGATAGTTTCACAAACGTTAGGGACGTTTTGTGATAAAAAGCCAGATATAAATTGAGGAAAACCACCTTCACTGAAACGACGCCTTTGTGGACCCAAGTGAAGTGGACTATGTTTCGGTCCAAGATAGAAAATCCTACCGAACCCAGATAAGGTCCACTTCGTGATTCTAGCGCCAAACTGGGAATTGCGTCAATGGAGTCTCTGTCTTCTGTTCTCTCACCAACCGTGGTGAAATTTTCTTATCCAATGCTTGCTTCAATGGCTGCCTCTGCAGCTACTGCTCCTTCTTTCTCACTGAGGTCCATGGCCTCTGGACAGCGAAGAACAGCTACTTCAAAACACTCTGCAAAACCCACTAAAACCCTCTCTGCAACAACAGCAACAAACCCAGTTTCTAGTACAACCAGCACAAGCACAGCCACATCGCTACCTCCCAAGAAGGTCTTTTCCAATACCCATTTGTCCATTCCTATAAAAGCACCAAACCCACATGAGCTTCTCCATGTGGTTGCTGAGAAAATGGATGAAAGAAATGAGAACTTTGGCAAAATGGGTTCTTGGCTTTGTGATATATTATTTCTTAGCAACCAAAGGAAGCTTAAGTGAGAGAGTTAGTTAACTTTTTGGGTTTTTTGTGTATGCGCAGGTTCTGGTTCCAATTGGGTTGGGGACAGAAGAAATGGAAGCTGTCATTATAGTTGATGTTCTGCGCCGAGCTGGTGCTGATGTCACTGTGGCCTCGGTGGAGCCACAGCTCCAAATTGAAGCTTCTTGTGGTACTAAATTGGTTGCTGATACCTCCATTTCCTCATGTTCCGATCAAATTTTTGATCTTGTGGCTTTGCCGGTCAGTTGTTTTGAACCAATTTTTGTTAAATTTCATGAATTTCTAGTATTACTAAGTAACAAGCAAACTAGAAGACACGTAATATTGGTCGTTGAGATTTTTTTAAAACAACCGAAGTTCGTCAAATTAGAACGAGAGCTATAGAAAGTTTTCTTCTTTTTGACCTAGAGCTGGAGAAAGTTTAACAAGAAGAGTCAAAGTGTGTATCTATAGTTGGAAGCAAAAAATACTGTAGGCACAAGGTATTTTATATTCTGGAGGTGTTATTTTTGGAATTATTGTGATGCAATCAATTACTCCCCTTGGTTTTTGTCTCTTGATTAACCAATGGATATCAATATTAGGAAGTTTGGTGATAAGTTGTATGTTGAATTGACAAACTTTTAGCATCCGCTGATTACTGTTATGTATATGACCCTTAAGGGAGGAATGCCTGGCTCGGTGAGGTTAAGAGACTGCGCAGCACTGCAGAAAATTACAAGCAAACAGGCCGAGGAAAGGAGGTTATATGGAGCTATATGTGCTGCTCCAGCAGTAACACTTCTACCATGGGGTCTTCTAAGGAGAAGACAGGTCGGTTAACTTTGGCTTAGTGTTGGTTAAATTTTCATAGTTTTGTGCGTTTCAATGTAGTTTTCCGGCTAATGGTTATCTAGTGTGTTATGCAAGACTACATGCCACCCTGCATTCATGCACAAGCTTCCAACGTTCTGGGCAGTCAAATCAAACATTCAAGTTTCAGAAGGGCTCACAACAAGCCGTGGCCCTGGAACTTCTTATGTGTTTGCCCTATGCCTAGTTGAACAGCTATTTGGGGAATCTGTTGCCAAGGGAATTGGAGAATCATTGGTGAGTGCTGAGCCCTGTCTCAGTTTTTTGTTCATTATACAAGCATAGGAGTGAGTGTTCAGATAATTACCTTAAAATTATAGATCGACTAAACAATTATATACATAGATTTTATATGTAACTCCAGATGCCAGGATTAATTGTGTTCTAAAATATGTATATATTATTCTTATAAGAAACATTTGTGTCCCAAAATTTGACCATGTTCTTTTAAATTTTGTCAATTGGATCATCTGCATATAATCCTCTTATGCCAATATATTTTTACTAGATGGGAATAAATGGAAGAAACGGACTTTACAGAATACTTACTCCATTTTTAGATCTTGAAAAGGTGAAGGGAAAGTAACAGGGAATAGAAAAATGCTTAAACAAGAAAGCTCATTTCTAAGCAGTCAGAAAGTTCCTTTTCCTTCTTATGTTTCCCAACATTCATTTAGGGCTTTAAGATTCAGAGTGAAATTGGAGTATGACGAGTAACTCAGACTTGAGGGAGATGTTCGAAATAAAAATCTACATTATTAAGGCTGGTACCGTGTTTTATATTGGTTTAAGGGTCAGCTTTTGCCATACAAAATACAAAGTTAATAGAAAACAAATAAAAGTTATTTGTGAACCATACATTACCTGTCTAAGAAGTCAGTGGTATGACTTTTTTGGTTCTTTTATCCAAAAAAACTTCATCCTTTGTCAGATTGTGTCTCCAGGAACAGACTGCCTAAACTATTGTGCTTTGTATCAAGTAAATATGTATGTATCTAATCAGATTCGTTGTATCCCTATGGTTTTTCCCTTTCATTATTTTTACTAATAACTTAAAGTTAATACCCTGCCTCTCTTGTATTAGTTGGTGTGCCTCGATGATGATAACTCTAGAAAGGAAGAGTTCAACAAAGTTGAGTGGTCTTTTGATCACATCCCTCGCGTAAGTTTCTTTTGTTTCTGTTTCATTACTGAATTTTTTGTCACTTCGATCTATGGACACGTAGTTTGGTTTTCTATGGACCAATACCCTATGGAAAACAGAAACTGTCATTCTTTGGTGACCTATTACCGAAAAAAGGCCGAAAGTTTTCTTCTTTTTTTTCTTCTAAAGAAACCCACTAGAAAGAACATATTGGTAGGTACCCAATCTTGGTCCGGTGTTTGAAATGTTCTCTTGGATGAACAAGAAAAGATACGACGATTAAACTTCATCTTTACATTCTTTTTTCTTTGACTCCTAACCTTGCTCACAGTTCATCTTTTGCTTGCTCTTTTCCATGCTTGCCCAGATTTATTTATTACATAGTTTTATCTTCTGCCTGTCAATGTGGGTATTCGTTATCTCTCTGTTTTTCCTTCGTTTTGGCCTAAAAAGCCTTTTGTCATTCCAATTCATGTAGGTTCTGATTCCAGTTGCAAATGGTTCTGAAGAGATTGAAGTAGTGACTATTGTAGATATTCTACGACGAGCAAAGGTTGATGTAGTAGTTGCTTCAGTTGAAAAATCTGTGCAGATTTTGGCATCTCAAGGCACCAAAATCATTGCTGACAAATTGATTGGTGTTGCTGCGGAGTTAACTTATGATTTAATCATTCTTCCGGTGAGACAAACCAAATCTTTAGTGATAAGTTATATTTGTCTATGTCCCTTAATCTCTGTGGTGCAGAATCAAAATAAAATGCCAAAACTCCATAATTAATTCATATGCCTTCAACGGTTCTGGTTCATTGTAATAGGGAGGAACTGCTGGTGCTGAGCGGTTAAACAAATCTAGGATTCTAAAGAACCTCCTCAAAGAACAAGAACTAGCTGGAAGAATATACGGGGCAGTCTGTTCCTCACCGGGAATCCTACATAGACAAGGCTTACTGAAGGTAACACAAAACTATTTCTCTAATTTTTTATTTTTTATTTGGCTTATATGATTCCTTATGCTTCTTTTGCTAAACATAGGGTAAGAAAGCCACTGCTCACCCTTCCATTGTAAGCAAGCTCACAAACGAAGTGGTAAATGGCACCAAAGTAGTGATTGATGGTAAAGTGATTACAAGCAGGGGACTTTCTACGGTCACAGACTTTGCATTGGTTATTGTGAGCAAACTATTTGGTCATGCAAGGGCAAGAAGTGTTGCAGAAGGCCTTGTTTATGAGTACCCGAGGAGTTAAGATGATCTGGACTCAGAACCAAGTCCTTGCGGATGGAATGCAATCTTCATCCCTTAGCCATGAAGAGTAGAGTATAGACTGTCAGATCACATTAGCCAATGGAAGCAGAATCTTCATACCAAACAGTTTTGGAAAATGGATTTTTGAAAGTATTGAGTTTGTTCACGTTGTCCATCCGTTTCTAAAGTGCTTTTCTCCCCAAACTGCACATTGGCTGGTCCAGCTTCCGCAACATCACGACTAACAACTTACCATTTTTTGTATCTGCAGAGACAGTGAACCTTCAGTAATTGATGCGAAAGAGAATGCATTTGAGATGGAAAGGCCTGTAAATTTTTGTTGGTTGTTACTTGTTGTAAGTTTAGGTGTTCCAGGCTTTTTAGCCACTCCGTTTATTTTCATGACTTCATAGGATACTTACGTGGGGTGTAAATATTTTGCAGTTGACTTTATCGTCTTTTGGAATGAGAAGTTGATGAGGAATTTGAACGCTGTTAAATAAATGTGTGCAAAGATTGATAAATTAAGATGGCAAAAAAAATAAGATTGATAAATTAAAAGAATGTGCCTAAAGGTACCGTTCTCTGCTAAGGAAAACTTAAAAACCGAAAAAATATTCCGTTGCCGGGACTTGAACCCGGGTCTCTCGGGTGAGAGCCGAGTATCCTGACCAACTAGACTACAACGGATTGTTGTTTGTAGTACCTTTGAAAACCTATTTAAAAAATGGTTCGTTTATCTACCTACAAGCAATTTAATTTCAGTTCCCACAAAAACAGATACGTGGCGGATGAGGTTCTGAGGTGAGTAACTATTTGTAAATTCTGAGATGGTGGAGCCTTTTGAAGAACTACCATGAGGTAGGTTAATTTGAGGTTCCATAACTTGAATGACTCATAATATGTTTATAGAAGAGAACAAAGTTAACAACATCAAAACTCTGTGTCAAGGGAAATGGCTTTTTTACCTTTTTGTTTTTTGGGCCATCTAAAAGCAGAGAGAAACTCATAAATAAGCTTGCATTTGATTTGATTTTCATATAAATTAATTACCATCACAGAGCAGGTTAAGATTTCAGTTTTTACATCTCCAGCATTCCCTCCACCACCTTCCAAAATTACTAGAGCTGGGAAAATACGAAAAGAACAGTACTTGAATACGAAACCCAAGTGAACAAATCTGAAGACCTGAGCCAATTCGTTAACTGAATTCAGTTCCTATATGCCATGAAAATAAAAGTTTTTGAGGGGCAGAAATGTATTAATTATTTAGATGGACAATACTAAAATAGTTAACACATGACTTGCTCAATTATCCTAGACTCTCTCTGCAATCAAAATGAGAAGCAAACAGAGATCACACCAGTACAAAAGTTTAATCTACAAGATGAGACCGTAGTTTGTAATTTACAACTCAACCACTCCTCTCCTATACAGACAGCTACCTACTGTTTCTAGTATAAGATTGGATTCAGATAACAGATACATGCTCCAATCTTTGTACCATACTACCTATATGTTGGTCAATCAAGCACTCATCTTACATCTGCAGTCCAACTTTATCCAAGTTACCAAGGGCCAGTCAATGTTCTTCGTAAGCATTGCCTTTTACCTCCCCTTTGCCGCTTCACTGTCTCCAAAATCTACCAAAGTATTCAAGAAAGAAATCGGTCAGCCTACTTTGACAGTCATAATTACAAGAAATTCCTAAAGGAACGTTATCGTTTGCCTCATTGGTTATTTTAACTGGGAGCAATAATACATCACATAAAATGTAAGGCAGTGAGGCACTAGAGAAATAGCTGCAGTGATGTACCTGATCTTTCTGCATTTCCATAATTTCTGTCTGCAGAAACCACATTAACGTCAAGGAGCGTTAGCCAAACTAGGACAACCAGATGAATAGCCAATCATTTTTACTTAAATAAAACATATACCTGTTTTCTCTGTAATTCTTCATTCATTTCTTTAAGTTTTGCAACTTCTGCCTCTAGTTCCAAGGTATAGGCCTGCAATAAATCGTGAAGAAAAGGTTACTAAAAAAAAAGTATCAATCATGTTTCTTAAACAAAAAAAGTATGAACAAAGCAGAGCGCCACTATTCAAAGAGCTGATTCTAGGACCAGGACTCAAAAAACATATTAAGTTCAAAAAATCCCAAACATGATTAGCCTTCCAGAAATTGTGTCAAAATTAAGAAGGAAAAGATTAAACACTTTCAAATTTTGTACATGATGTAATACATCGGCAGTGCAGAAGGCTGCTTTACACATTTATGTCGTCATAATAAAACTGACAAAACCTCTTGACTGGGGTTCATCAAATATCAGTAGGATTCTATGAATTTTTAGGTAGATATGAATCAGCATTAGCAGACATAAAAGGACAACTCACCTTGAAGTGGTGGACTGTCCATTTATACACCAAAACATAACTAAATGAGTATAAACATATGAACTTGTCTGTTGACTGCCTATTTTCTCTCACGTGGCATGACTACTTTGTGCTCGTTTAATCATAGTTTTTGTTTAATTCGTTAACAATTCTGCTGGTGTGTGCAGATATCCCAAAGTATGCATTTGTAAGGTTGTCACCAGAAAACTATGCATATGTAAGGAGCAGCGCAAATGCATGTTGATGAACAAAATGCCACCAACTAGACATCAAAATATAGGTCTAAAACTACAACTAAACCCCAAAAACCACTTGATTAGCAAATACAACAAAGTTAAGCCAAATTCAAAAGACAATGAGCAACAAATTGAGATAGTACTTAACAGATAAATAATGTATGATGGCAGCATAACCAATGTAGTCACCTGTTTACGAGCTCGGGACCTTGCAGCAGACTCTCTGTTTTTTATCATTCTCCTTTGCCTTCTCTCAACTACTTTCTCCAAAGCTCCATTGGACTTCCTTCCCCGGCTAAACATGTAAGGAACTGGTGACAACGACGATGTATCCCCACTGCTCTTAGCAATCACATCTGGTGATATCTGATTTGTGGGAGATCTTGCTGCAACTGCACCGCCCCCAGTACCTAAACCAGTCATTCCAATTCCTGTTCCCGGAAACCCACCACCTTGAGTGAAAACAGTGTTCATAGAAGGTTCCACAACCCCAGTCATTGGTCCCCTGGTTCTTGGGCTTGTTAACTGAGCATTGTTTATTAAATGCATAGAAGGGGCAAAAGCTACATTTGTAGGCTTGGGGAAGAGCGGCTGCTGTTGTGGGGGCAGCTGCTGTGTTTGTTGCTGAGAAGATCTAACTCCACCAACATTAAGTGCTAAATTGGGAGACTGGTTAAGAACCGAATTATTGTTATCTGCAACTCGATTACCTAAAAGACCGTTGGTTCGACTTGGTTGTTGAAATCCGGGAGCTAAACCATTGTGGTTATTTGGACGGTATAATTCACCATAGAATCCACTATTATTAGGCCTTACAACTGGTTGGACATCTTCTCTCACAACCCCTGCTCTCACCAAAAACTCCTCCAAAGTCATCTCTCCCAAAGTTTGTTGTCTCTGTGGCAAATTTGTACCCGTAGCAACAGTATTATATTTAGCATCACTTGTCTCTCTAATCAAGTCTTTCCAAACCTCATCAACTGTCTTCTGACTAAGTGTTCGTGGCAAAGTTAATGACCCTTGTCTCTGCAAATTACCCCCAGGAGCACTTCCTTCTCCAGCCCCAGAAGTAGATGTCACGCCTTGAGTCTCTTCAGCAGTCCATATATTTTTCAAAAGTTCATCCATGTTCATAGATCCAAAATCCTTTCCAAGTCCACCTATGGTGTTCTGGAACTCATCGAACGTCAGAGAGTATACGGAAGACTGCCGGGCCAAAGTAAAATTTCCTGCTGCCTTCCCACCATTGCCTTCCCCAGGTGGTGCATCACCAAAGTTCTTGAAGTTGAAATTAGACCCCATCTTCTGGCACCTTGAAATACTAGTAACAGCTAGCTGTGCCAACTTTCCTATATATCCATCCAAGTAGAACACAAATAGTTCAGACAAAAATCAGGAAAATGATAGGCCAATGAAACAGTTCTATGCATGAACTGAATTAGAAAACCCAAAAGCACCAAACTGCATACACAAAAAACTTACTGCATAAACAAAGAAATAAGAGAATAAATTTAATAATAGCTTCAGAAAATTGGAGACATACAAAGACAACAACCCCCTCAGAGTTCCAAAAACAGACAAATGTCTGAAAACAAACTTAATAGTGGCTTTATTCGATCCACCAACAGAAGTTTGACAACACAACTCAAACCATTAAAGTCAATATCTCACACAAGATTCTATTGCCTAGAATTTGAACTTTATGAAGAACCAAGAATGTGAAAATGATCAGAACCAAACAAATTGTTCATCTACACTTGTCCAATATATTCAGATCAAAACTGTGATGACAAATACTTTTCCCATTAGCTTCAGATCCACAAACTCACTCAAACCAACATGGTACTGGACCACTAACAAGATCTTCCAAAGTTTTCCAGCTCCATTAAATCATATCAACATCAAAATCTGTACTCTCATAACCATTATCCAAGACCAACCCATTTCTCCAATTTTTTTTCATCACAACCAATAATCGAAAAGCTTAAACCTTTCATTAAAAAACCAAATCAAAACCCAAACCATATCTTACTTCATACAACAACAAAGCTCAAACAACCCTGTAATTTGAATCCATAAATTTGCTTCCTTGACCAACAAAAACCAATTACAGCTAAAATATAAAAAAAAACCCGCAAAAATACTAAGATAATTACTAAGATGTATTAAATCAGATAAAGACAAAACCCAATAAACAGAAAAAATAGCTGAAATGAAAAATAAACAAAAAGACAGAGTTAGATAGATAGAGAAAGAAACATTGAAAGAGAAGGACTTTATTTACCTTAATTTTCTTTTTCTTTTTTAATTTTCTTTTTTGTGGAAAATTGGGAGTGACTGCCTGGTAAGAGAGAGAGAGAGTGTCTGTTTCTCTGAGCTTCGGGTTGTCTGGGTTGTGTGGAGGCGACAAGTGTCTTGGGCCGCCTCGACACGAGTCGCTATTTAAGGACGGTTCGGAGGCTAAGATTTCGGAATTGTTTAAATTTTTTTAATATTAAAGTGGTTGGGTAGCCTTCCAAATCTCGCAACGTGGAGCAATCAGGGCGTGAGATCGTGATTTGATGTCTGTCCAATGTAGGGTGGCGACGTGGGACGATCTGAGCCGTGAAGGGGGCTCTCCGACAGGTTGATAATTGATTGGAGTGAGAGATCTTTTGGTTGGTTTTATTGGTCGAGAATAGTGGCACAGTATGAGGATTTTTCTTTTTCCTTTTATTTTATTTCTTTAGGGGGGGTTTTTTTTTCTTCTTTCGTTTTCTTGTTTGTTTGTTGATG